GAGAGGCTATCTCTAGCTAGAAAAGTGCCTTAGAAAGATGCAGTGGTGAACTTCTAGGTATTGGCACAGGCTTCTCTTTCATACTCCTGTAATATTCACAATGGACATGCACACTTTCATATTTAAATAATGTGCTTACAAAAGAAACCACTTGAACCACATTTTGCCATTAAGCAGTTGGGGAGATTAAGGCATAGACACCCTCATTCCTTCCTTCACTCGTTCAAGTATTCAAATATTTCCTGAGCTCCTACCGTGTGCTAAGAAATGATGTGGACATGGGAAGTGAAGAAGTGAGCAAAGTCACTGCCGTCACGTTGCTTAAGTGCCAGTGAGTAGACAGACACAGACACACACACACACGTATATGAACTGAAATGGGAACCATGGGGGGAGGGGGCTTGGAGCAGGGGAGTGACATCATAATGCTGGCTGCTTTCATCATTAATAGATTAAAGGGGGGCAGAGCAGAAGCCTGGCGATGAGAAGAATAATTGAGACAAGAAAAGACCCAGTTTGGACCCAGTCAGTGGCAGTGGAGGTGGTGAGAGGTGGTCAGATTCTGGGTGTTTTGAAGGCAGAGCCAACAGCATATGGTAATGGGCTGACTGCGTGTGGAATGTGAAAGCACGGGAAGGCAGTGAGAATGACTCGGATTTTTTATCTAAGCCATGAACTGGAAAAACAGACTTGCAAGGGATCGAAAAGGAGCAGACTGGGAGTGAGTTGGGGTTTCCTGAGTGTGGGGAGGAATTTGATTTTGGATGTGTCAAGTTGGAAAAGCCTCCTTCTCAGCCAAGTGGAGATGCTGCATGGGAAGCAGGTATGAGCCTGAGGCTGGGGGGAGATACAGGCTGCAGAAAGGCACTGAGAGGTGAGATGGAAAAATATGTTTTTAAAACTATTTTCACATTTTCTCACTGTATCCCACTTCATATATCTAACCAAGATCTTAAGGCTGCTAAATAATAGAGTTGGACTAGAATCAGGTTTTTTAATTGCTAGTCCAATGAGCTCATGGTTGAAGCCCATGAACATATTTGACCTTGATTTTTGTCAAAGGGCTAAGCAAATAAAGTAAAACTCAGTATTGAAATTTTAGGTGTAAATGATGGGGGTGCACCTGAGTGTGAGAATAGACCTCACAAGCGCTGAATGCTTCTTAGGATGCCTGTGCCATTGAAGCTTCTGCAGTTATTGGGTTGTCAGAAAAGTCATGACGTATTTTGTTTATGTTTTTCAAAGGTCATTTATTTACATAAAGAACAAAGGTTATCTTTTGTTGATAATGATATATTGCCCATTTTGTTCGATAACCTTTTGCCATCTTTCAGTGAGCTTCATAATTCCTC